CAGTGGCCAGATCTCGGCTCACTGCAAGCTCTGCCTCCCGGGTTCACGCCATTCTCCTGCCTCAGCCTCCCGAGTAGCTGGGACTACAGGCACCCGCCACCTCGCCCGGCTAGTTTTTTGTATTTTTTAGTAGAGACGGGGTTTCACCGTGTTAGCCAGGATGGTCTCGATCTCCTGACCTCGTGATCCGCCCGTCTCGGCCTCCCAAAGTGCTGGGATTACAGGCTTGAGCCACCGCGCCCGGCCCCTCTTCTTCGTCTTCTTCTTTTTTTTTTTTTTTAGATAGAGTCTCACTCTGTCTGCCAGGCTGGAGTGCAGTGGCAAGATCTCAGCTCACTGCAAACTCTGTCTCCCAGGCTCAAGCAATTCTCCTGCCTCAGCCTCTCAGTAGCTGGGTTACAGGCATGTGTCACCACACCTGGCTAATTTTTGTATTTTTAGTAGAGACGGGGTTTCACTACGTTGACCAGGCTGGTCTTGAACTCCTGACTTCAGGCAATCCACCTGCCTCAGCCTCCCAAAGTGCTGGGATTACAGGCGTGAGCCACCACGCCTGGCCATATGTATATAATTTTTTTTTTTTTTTTGAAGAGTATTTTGCTGTTTCCCAAGCTGGGGTACAGTGGCACAATCTCAGCTCACTGCCACCTCTGCTGGGTTCAAGTGATTCTCATGCCTCAGCCTCCCCAATAGCTGGGATTATAGGCGCATGCCACCACACCCAGCTAATTTTTGTATTTTTAGGGGAGACAGAGTTTCGCCGTGTTGGCCAGGCTGGTCTCGAACTCCTGACCTCAAGTGATCTGCCTGCATCAGCCTTCTGAAGTGCTGGGATTACAGGTGTGAGCTACCATGCCCGGCCTGTATATTCTTTTGTACTTTTTGAATCTTGAGCTCAATGCATATGCATATATATGTTCACATACTCCATTCAAACCAGAAATTAAATTATTAAAAACTGAACAGAGAGAAGCAATAAGAAGGATAGGGAGAAATGCATTTTGAGCCACCAGAGAGTCAAAATTTCCTCTAGATCAGAGCAGCCCAGCAGTACTTGGAGCTCGCCCTAATGGTTTCGAATTGTGCTTTGTGCTGTGTTGAATCCATACTGAGGGGTCAGTACTAGACCCAATCCTGTGCAACTGGTTGTCCTGTCTACTCAAAGATGTTGTTGAGGACAATGTTTCCTTTGTGAAGTCCCCAGGGAGGCATTCTTGTCTGTCATAACTCCAAGAACAGTCGGTTTGCATTTTTTCTCTGGACAATTATGTAAATGAGTAGCTGCTAGAAAGCATGAGGCTGAGTGTGTCGCCTGTCGGTAGCAAGTTCACAGGGTCATCAAATGTCAGTATAATTCCTGACTCTTTAACTCCCCACTGTTGTTTCTCTTTCTTCTGCTTCTACATTTGATTCATTGTTTCTTGTTGTGTCCTATATATTCTTGCAAGTCTCCCTTAAACTACTTTAGGAAAAGGAAGGGGTATAAATAAATACACTTCTAATAAGAATAAAAATTTTAAAACCCCTAGCTGGGTACAATGGCTCACACCTGTAATCCCAGCACAGGAGGCTGAGGAGGGAGGATTGCTTGAGGCTGGGAGTTGAAGACCAGCCTGTGCAACGTAGTGAGATCTTGTCAGAAGGAAGAAAAGAAGGGAAGGAAGGAAGGAGAAGGGAAGGAAGGAAAGAAGGAAGGAAGGAAGGAAGAAAGGAAGGAAAAGAGAGAAAGAGAAAGAGAGAGAGAAAGAAAAAGAAAGAGAAAGAAAGAAAAAGAAAAGAGAGAAAGAAAAAGAGAAAGAAAGAGAGAAAGAGAAAGAAAGAAAGAGGAAGGAAGGAAGAAAGGAAAGGAAGGAAGGGAGGGAGGGAGGGAGGGAGGAAGGGAGGGGCGGCCGGGCACGGTGGCTCACGCCTGTAATCCCAGCACTTTGGGAGGCCAAGGTGGGCAGATCACGAGGTCAGGAGATCGAGACCATCCTGGCTAACACAGTGAAACCCCATCTCTACTAAACATACAAAAAATTAGCCGGGTGTGGTGGCACACGCCTGTAGTCCCAGCTACTCGGGAGGCTGAGGCAGGAGAATGGGGCGAACCCGGGAGATGGAGCTTGCAGTGAGCTGAGATAGCGCCACTGCACTCCAGCCCGGGTGACAGAGCGAAACTCTGTCTCAGAAAAAAAAAAAAAAAGAAAAATAGTGAATCCGCCGTCTCGCCTCCCAAAGTGCTGGGATTACAGGCTTGAGCCACCGCGCCCGGCCGGTCTTCTTTTCTTTTTCTTTCTTTTGTTCTTTCTTTCCCTCCCTCCTCTCTTCTCCTCGCCTCCCTCCTCCCTCCCTCTCTTCTTCTTTCTTCCTCCTTCCTTCTCTCTTCTTCCTCCTCTCTCATTCTCTCTCTTTTCTCCTTCTTTCTCTCCCTTTCCTTTC